TAGCTTATTCAATTCCCGATAATCGATACACATCATGTGTGACCCGTCCTTTTTTTCTCGAACAGGATCAGTGCTCCCCATAGGGAACTGCTCGGACGGATAAAACCCTTGTCTAGCAGCTCCTGCAGCTGTGTAGATAACTCCTACATCTCAGGCGGTGCTAGGCGATATGGTGCCTTCACTATCGGAGTCAAACCAAACATCAAATCAATCCGAAACTCAACCTGCCGCTTGAGAGGCACTCTCGGCAACTCCTCGGGAAAGACGTCGGGAAAATCTCGCATAATGGGTACCCTGCTCAACTCTGACGTGACCTCAGCCCGCATATCTGAAACATAAGCCAAAAACCCAGAACAACCCTGCTGAAGAAGCCTCCTATCCCTCGCAGCTGAATAGAGAGCGGGCCCATGCGAAGCTCTCTCACCGGTAATGACTAGTTCTGCCCCACTTGGGTTCGAACTCTCACCAACTGCCGCTCACAATCAATCACGGCCCCATTTGGCCCCAACCAGTCCATCCCGATGGTCACCTTCAATCCCCTTAACGGGATCAGTACCAAACCGATAGGAAACCTCTCACTGAACATGTTCAGAACACATCCTCGGAATACCCTTGCAACGCTCACAGTACGATTATCCGTGATCTCCACCTCCAAAGGGGATTCCAAATTCCCTGGAGCGTCTCGAAACTTCTTGTTGAGCGCAAGAGATGCAAAGGATCGGGTAGCCCCCGAATCGAATAAAACATGAACCGACAACCCATTGACCAAAAAGGTCCCTATAAAAGATCATAACAAATATAAGCATAACAAGAAAACAATAAAAGATAGAGTTAAGTCACATACTATTAACTACATCTGGCGCTGCTCGGGCCTCATCGGTGGTCAACTGAAATGCTCTGCTCTTCACCACATGAGTCTCCGCCTTGCCCTGACGTCCATCGGTAATCTTCAAGGTGGCTGGCGCAGGCGCCGCCACTGCTCCCCCAGACAACCTCAGACAACCGGCCTTTTTATGGTCGGTCTGGGTGCAGTGAAAACAAATCAAACCCTTCTTGGGGCACTCCCTGCTCATGTGGCCCGACTGACCACAACTGTAACATACCAAGCCTGCTACACGACATGCCCCATTATGAAGCTTGCCGCACTTGGCATAACGGCCCCGGCCCTGCTGGCCTCTACTAGAAGTATCGGAGGTCATGGACTTCTTGTCCTGGACCACTGTTGCCTGCACCTGCTCCAACTTCCGCTTCGGCCGGAGCTCCAACTCGATTTCCCGCTCATGAGAATTCTCAATCATATCATTCAGGGTCTTGTAGCCTGAGAAACTCAAGAACTCCCTGATATCATCCCTCAGCATGGCATGATCTCTCGTCTTCCTCATCTCCTCATCCGCAACATACTGCGGAACTAGCAATGCCCTCTCCATGAATTTGGCGGTGATCTCCGCCACAGTCTCTGTAGTCTGGTGAAGGTCCTGGAACTCCCTCACCAGCTGTTGCAGCTCAATGGCCAGTGCAAACTCCTGATAGAACCTCTGCACAAAGTCCTCCCAAGTCATCACTGTAACAACCTACGTACCAACCGCTCGAATAACCTCCTCCCACCAGTCCCACGCTCGGTCCCTCAGTAAGCAGGACACGAATCCCATCTTTGCCGCCTTGGGGAAAAATCTCGTGTGTTGAGCATTCTCCATGTCAGCGATCCAACGACGGCTAGCAATGGGGTCCTTAGCCCCAAAGAACTCAGGCACTCCGCACACCTTGAACTCCCGGAACGAGGGAGTTCGAGTCATCACCAGTTCCGCACTAGAACCTGAACCCGAACCTGAACCTCCTCGTGTATTCATCACCATCCTCAACTGAAAATACAACATAGAAACAATCGATAAAGAGGTTCGAAGGGAATCCTCCTCACCTAACTCCTTAGAGTTTCTAGGTCTGCTCTTGTCTCGGGTACGGATCATGTGCTTTCAGTAGTACGGGCCCAATACTACCTTCCACACCTATCTGTACCTTCCTTAAGGTCATACCTGATACCTCTAATTCACCCAACTATACTAAAAAACATAACTCATACAACACAGCACACACATATCCTAGACTCTTCTAGGATTTCTCAATCCTCACAAAATCAGAAACCTTAATCAACACCGCAGGTTGCCTTATGCATGCAAGTTATACACAAATAGAATCACATAGACTGTCAAATAAACTTTCTACCCTAAGTCCACAACGAAACAAGGAACGGGAAATGAGGTAGAATCCATCATTCTAGGGCTATGTAATCCTAATTGTATATAAATTTGAAAGCATACACTTAGCAAATACAGAGTCAACATCGATTCCAAGAAATATATGGCATCCAATTTTCCTAGGCTATAAGGCATCACACAAATCAGGTAATTCTATCACATAATCCCTGCAGGTATCGTTAGCCCTACTCTAGCATGCACTTCACATATAAATCATACTAATCGCAATACATAAGCATGGTTAATTTTGGGAAACACTTACTTGAGCTCGTCCGATCGCACGCATTGCACTTTCCCTTTTTACTTAAGAAAACCTTTTTTTAGAAAACTTCGATTCTTTTTCTTTTGAAAAGATTATCATTTCCTCAGTTTGAGTTCTAACCCACCTGAGAGTGTGCCCGAATCCCTCAAACCAAGGCTCTGATACCAACTTGTAACAACCCAAAAACCGGATAAAAATTTTTCATTTTCAATTAAGAATTACAGCCATAATTTTTTTCCAAAATCCATTACAAAATAAACATGTCAAATTATCAGAGTAACAACATCAGTAAGTGCGGAAAATAGTGGAGAGTGAACGTTGCACCATCAAGTCGGACCCTTCCCTTTAGTATCGGAAGTACTTGAAGCCACAATACAAATTGTAAGCAAAAGCTTAATGAGTTTCCCCAAAATACCAGATAACATACAAACAATTGCCACGGGCTACCTCCATGGTCTTTTTCCCTTGAAATGTCATCGGCTACCCCCATGGTCTGATATCCAAGTGTCATGGGCTACCCCCATGGTCTTCCATATAAGTGCCACGGGCTACCCCTGAGGTCTTTCAGACAAGCAACCACATAGAAAATTATCATTCCACATGACAAGTAATGGGCCGACAGTTGTGCCTTCGACCCATGGATATAGTAAGAAGTCTCACCTTGGTCTGGTGGTAAATACTAACTGCTCGACTACCGATCCGATAATCTCACAATGAATATACTCAAATTAACCTAATCATAATTAGGTCACAGACCCAAAACATGAGCCAAAACCCTAAGTCCAACTCCTAAAATATGCCCCAATCGCCTTTCCTATAATGGGCCTAACCGTATTCGACTCATCCACAATAACGGGCTCTATGGCCCAAAAGGCCCAAACCATGACACATAAGGTCCACAACAGAAAACTGGGCCTGCCTATCCTAAACAGGCCAAGGCCCAAAAGTCCCAAAAGTCCAATAATTGACCAACGGCCCACTGGGCATACGCGCAGTGTAACATCAATACGCTTAGTGTACTCGATCCTCAAGCATTACGTGTGGCGTACATCTTAGTACGCCCAGTGTACTAAGATGTTAAGCACTTTCATCCATTAAGTGCTTAATCCATGCAGTCACTTCGTCAACTTCCACATCACGATCATTTAAGGGGTCCTAGGGCATAAAGTTGGCAACTTTATGCCTTTGCATGCCTTATGGGAGCCCAACATCCCATTTTTTCCTTTAAGACTCACTTTAAGGACCTATATTCATGCATGGTGCCATAACAATCATCAAGATATCATTTTTATGCCTCTGACACACCAAAGGAACTAAGATCTAGCATTACAAGCTTCTAGAGTTGCCCAAACTCACAAAAGAGAATCCATGGACCACAAATGAGCTTATAAACAAACCCTAACTCTATGTATCAAAAAGATTAACAAAGTAGGAGCTTTTCACCTCCAAAAGCCTCCTAAGATGATGTAGATTCAGGATCTTGAAGCTCAACCACATCCAAGGCTTGCTCACCAACTTCTTCTTCTTGCAAACACACCAAAAATGCCACCAAAGAAACATAGAATGTTGTGTTTAAGCTTGACCAGCACCTGATGTCGTTGATAATGTAATCAGCGTAATAGAAATTTGACTCATCAAATTATAAGGTTTGATCTTACAGTTGTTGTGCAGACGAATACTAGGGTTGCTATTAGGGAGCAGTAAGAGATTTGTACGTGGCCCAGAATAGTGGGGAGGGCCTACCAAGGCAACCGTGAAGGCTGCCATAGGACAGTTGAGAATTGGTTTGTAGTGGAGGGAGGGTTCTCGGCCATTACAGTAGGGGGAGAGAGATCGAATAGATTGTTAGGGAGAAGTACAGAAAAAAAAGACATAAAACAATGGAATCAGTTGGATTTCGCCGATGGTGATGAGGCGGGGAAAGGAGGATGTTGGCGATTAGGGTAGTCAAGGATCAAGAAAGAAAGAAAGAGAAGATCAATTATATGATATCATATTAGACTTGGTATTTTCCCATAATCAAGACTCTCATTAAGCAAAATCATACTTACAAATTACAAGGAAATAAGAACTAACATTTTTGGGCTAACAATAATGCAACAATGGGCTAATGAAAACATGTTTTCCAAAACAATTAGGGTTTCAGTTTTTGGTTTTGTTGCACATCTATTCTATTAATTTGTGAGATTCCGATATGGGTAGATCCATTTAGAAGTGCTTAGCATGATGTGGGGTTCAACACACATAAAACCAGTATTTTGGGTTCATTTAAGAACACCTTAAGACATTGTTTAAAATCCCAGTAATAAACGCCTGCCAAACTACATGCCAACGAGTATGACTTCCCATTCTTCCACATGACTAATCACAAAAAAATCCATACATACACTAATTGTCATTACAAGTTTATTAAACAATACAAGAACAAACATCAAAAAAATAACGAATACGACTAGATCTTATACACTAATCTTTTCATTTTTTGACAACCTATATATCGCTTTTACTATAAAAAAAAATTACAAAAAACCAACAATACACACATGTACATACCAACTCCTGAATGTCATGTCGATAATTTTGAAAACATCAAGTGGTTAACTCCCGCTCTATACATATGCAACTCAGATTCTGTACTCACATGAACCTCAGTGTTCGCAGGAGCAAAAAACACATCTCCTCCACAAACCATGTCCTCAGATGATGACGTGGAAGATGGTGATGACGCTGATGATGACGATGATGATGGGGATAATGATGATGAGGGTGACAGCAAGGACGAAGGTGAAGATGACATGGACGCTGACGTGTACATCGATCCTTGTCCTGAATGGATTAAGAAAATAGATGGGCCCGGGACAGGTGGAAAAACGACTGATGCTCCTTGGTTGAGTATGCAACGTTCCACCTCGAATTCCTCAAATGGAGGATTGTATCTTGTGGTGTATGCGTTTACTGGGACCCCCTTTAAGATTTGTGGTGACCCCTAAATTATAAGGAAACCAAAAAAAATATAAAAAAAAAACAAATAGTTATCATTTAAAGAATATGAAAGGTTTGGTTATATTGTAGAATGTAGAATCACCTGTTTATAAGTAAGCATTGCACAAAGGATTTTTACATCACGATTTTTTGGAGTAAGGCCAGCACGTACAACATTATCTGAATTTGCCATGCACTCAACACAATCACCACTTAAATAGGCATGGGGTTCATTTGATGCTATGTATAAAGCTTCACCGGGTTTCAATTTAATGTGATTGAAGAGAAAAGATGCTATGACACCAATGTCACTTGGGTGTTGTTCTTCTAGCTTTAATGCTAGGGATTCCTTGCTAGTTAACTGTCTTGTCTATTTAACGATCAAAAGAATTACAACTTGTTAGTATAATGTGATGGAATTGGTTATTATGAATAGTAGAAGTTAAAAAATAAACAAGAACAAGATATATAAGATTGTGTTTGGCGCTAATAAGTTAACTTATTTTTCAAACTTTTTTAAATTGTCGTGTTTGGCAAGCCAAAAAGTAGCTGATAAGCTAGCTTTTTAAAAGCTACTTAGACTATGTTTGGCGTACTACCTGAAAAGCTAGCAGTTAGCTAAAAAGCTAGCTGATAGTTGAAAAGTTAGTTGTTAAATAAAACGCTAGCTGATAGCTGAAAAACTAGCGGATAAAAAATGTCATTTGGTAAAACTAGCTGGAAAATATAAAATGACTTAAAAGGACATTTAAAATAATGTGTTTCTATAATTAATTAAGCGGTATATTTGGAAAATTTTAAAAAAGCTTTTAAAAAGCTAGTCTAAGTAGCTTTTTAAAAAGCTAGCCTACAAGTTAGCTTATAAGCTACTTTTTGGCTTGCCAAACATGACATCTTAAAAAGCTCAAAAAATAAGCTAGCTTATCAGCTACACGTGGCGCTCCAAACACAGCCTTAGACTAGCTTTTCAGGAGCTTTTTTAAAATCTTCCGAATTTACCCAATTAATTATAAATAAACATATTCTTCTAATGTCCTTTTATGTCATTTTATATCTTTCAACTAGCTTATCAGCTATTTTTACCAAATGTTATTTTTTGTCAGCTAGCTTATAAGCTAGCAGCTAGCTTTTCCGCAAACAACTAGCTTTTTAGCTAGTCTGCCAAACATAGCCTTAGACTAGCTTTTCAAGAGCTTTATTAAAATATTCCAAATATACCCTTAACTAATTATAGAAAACATTATAAGTTAGTTTATACCAAACTATAAGCTTGCAGCTAGTTTTTCAGCTGGCAGCTAGTTTTTCATCTAGTATGCCAAACATAGCTTAAATAAAGTTAAGCATTACGCCAATAGCAATAAACAGAATGGATTTTAACTTTGAAGTACCTTTTTTTCCATGTTTAGCCGAGTGATTAATTTGGAAACTACAGCAGAAATGACCTCACTTTCAGATGACATGAGTTTAATGAATATTGATTGAAGAAATTGCATTTCTTTTGCCCCCTTATCTTGCTCATTGAGAGGTAAAACTTGGTATGCATATGCAACACCAACCACTTCCTTGATCTCAGGAACATTTTCAAGCACATCTTCAAGCTCCTATAAATCACAAGTCTCTGTGAGTAAGTTATATCATATCATGTAAAGTTTAAAGATGTTGACCAAGTCAAGTTATCATGCACTCAATTAGACAAATAAAGGAGAAAATGAATACTGGAATGAGGTTATAGAAGAGATTATTTTTACCTCAAAAGTAACGAACCCACATAAGGCCTCAAACTCTGTTAATGCCAAAACCATTTCAGGCTTGTGGTTTGCATCTTTATACACGTTTGGCTTCAACATACGAAGGAACCCTGCCAATTCTTTGTCAGGATGAGCCTGTATTGACAATGCCCTTGCAACTGAAAGAACCTGAAGCAAAGTTTGTGTCTATTAGCTACAATTATATGGTATAATCTATAATGAGTATAATACAGCATCAAAGTTCTTAACAGTTCAAAATGTAATAACTTTACAGTTTACACCTTGATTGTAGTTGACTGAATTTACAGAGCATGGTAAAATAGAATCAAACGGAAGTACCAAATAGACTGATGATGTAATTGCAAGTGTTCCACTAAACCTAATTTTGGATCTTTAGCAACTTTAAATGAAATCAATACCAATTGATTGTAGTGATTGTAGGTAATCATACCTAAAAGCTTAAGGAAATACCTCAACAATTTCCTGTTACCTTCTTAATTACAATTGAAAACAAATCTGCTAAAGGAAGATCAACTACCCACTTATTAAAAACGGCAGATTCAAACATAAACAGACCATAAAGGAGGAATTGGCAATCACCTTGAACATGAAGGGAAGATCAACTCCCCACTTATCAACAACAGTATCACCTAAAACCTCAGGATTCTTCGAAATCCAAGACTTCAAACTCACATTCCCGATCCCCTTATCGTCGACTAGAAACGATGGCCCGGAGGCATGAGTTCCCATCCAAAACTCAGCGTAATGTTTGCTTTCTTCGATTTCATCAATAGAATTTCTCAATAACAGCCTCGCAACAAGTGATTCGTGTCCAGTTCGACCCCAATCGTAGTTTTGAACCGCGCATTTCAGCCTCACAAGATCTCCGTCATATTTCCTATTTATCTCCATCACCATTATACGAGAGAGATATAAGGAAACGCTACATACACTACCGGCATGAGAATGGTATAGACTACGGCGATGGCGGTCGCAATGGCGATCGCGCTGGGGACAGCGTCTTCGAATCTCCGAAGACCACCGACGCCTTACATCGGAGGTCCTTCCAACTTTAAGGGGGGATCCCCTGAATAACGCAAGAAGTTGCTTGAATTACCCTTCTGGTTTACCAAATTTCTAAAACCACCCCATGAAATTAAGGGTACAAGTTAGCCGGTTTAAGTTTCCAACCTCTCTTTGTAACGATTAAATAAGGGAAATTAAGTAATTTAACCGGTTTAAGTTTCCAACCTCTCTTTGTAACGATTAAATAAGGGAAATTAAGTAATTTAACCAATGAAATTAAGTAATCTAACCATTTTTTAGTATATCTTATTATATATATATATATATATATATATATATATATATATGCAAAAATAGTCACCTTGTCCGGAATGAGGTATCCTAGACGCAAAAAAAATATATTTTTTTGACTAACTCTGGAATTGCATTCTGAATTCCGTACTAAATTTCAGAATATGAACAGTACTCTTGAATGCCTAATTCCGGATAAAATTTTAGATTTCAAAAAAAAAATCAAGAACAAGTCCGAGATTCGAAGAACAATTCCGGAATTTCAAGAAAAAAAATCATTTTTTTCTTAATTTAACAAATAATTAAACAAACATAATAATATGAACTATATACAATATAGTACATAAAATTAGACATTTTATTGAAAACCGTTGGCATTAAACATTACGAAATGTAACATTCATAATCCCAAAATAAACAAAAAAAAATTCTTTGAAAAAAAGAAAGATGAACAGTACTCCGGAATTAGGCATTCTGAAGAAAGTAGTTATTTTTCAAAAACTGAAAAAATATTGTTATTTTATTTGAAAACCTCGTTTATAATGGTTAGTTTGCTCAATTTCCCATTAAAAAATGGTATTTTATTGTTCACTAAACTAAGAGTCATGAACATGCTTGTTAATAAAAACTTACCAAGTTTTTTTTTTGTGTTTTTGGAAACTTATTATTTTGTCCAGAATATATCAATTTCATACCGAAAAAAAAATGTTTTTCCAACAAAAAAAAATACATTTCGAAATGTCATTATGGATTCTGGATTTCGGATGAAAGAAAATTATTCCAGAATTTAAGAATAGCTCTGAGCTTCGATGAACATTTTTGAAATTTTGAGAAAATGCTTCGTCTTTTCTCAAATCAATCGGGAAAATTAAAAAAAGCATGGTTAATAAGTAGATATGATAAAAATAACTTAAATATGACATTTAATTGAAAAACTATGATATTAGGCCATTCAAATGTCCAGTTCGAACATGAAAGAACTTTTTGAATGCTTTTATTAGGTGAATATATATATATATATATATATATATATATATTCACCTAATAAAAGCATTCAAAAAGTTCTTTCATGTTCGAACTGGACATTTGAATGGCCTAATATCATAGTTTTTCAATTAAATGTCATATATATATATATATATATATATAATATATATATATATATAAGTTATATAGGGTAATTTTATTCATAATCCTTTATATCCAATGGTTACGCCCATGATGAGTTAAGACTTAAAGTGGATGATTGATGTCTTCGTCTATGCATCCTTGAATCCATGAGATATTAAGACCTTTGAGTATTAAAACATGAATTAAATAAGAGTTATTTGAGCATGATTAGAAGTGGTTAAGACGTATTATATACACATTATATAGGGCTATTTGATCATTATCTCCGTTCATATTCATTATGGCTATAAAAGGGTTATATGTGACAGTGAAAGATGTTATGGATGCTTATATGTTTAAAGGTGTCGGGGTTGGGTCTAGTAATTCATATTTTCTCATATGTTATGTTGATGATATGTTACTTGTTGGGGAATGGTCTCGTGATAACATCCCAAACATTATTACTAGGTTAGTATGCTTTTACTTGGTCTCTAGCTTGAAAGGGAACTTAGATATATACAATTTATATGTCATTGGTCTTCACGTTGATAATGTGGAGAAGTTTGAAATTTTAACAGTGTGTTGAGCATAAGAATTTCCTTTTGTGTATATTGGTATTCTGATTGGAAACAATATGGATAGGGTGCAAAGTTGGCAAGTTGTTATTGATAGAGTTCAGAATGAATTGTTTAATTAGAAAGTAAAAATCCTTTCTATTGGTGGTAGATCAGTTATTCTAAAATCAGTTTTCAACCTCTTGGTATTTATTATATGTCTTTAGTTCTATGTCATACACTACTAATAATTTGTTGGGATCTCTACAACATAGATTTTTCTAAGATGGAGATGGGTTAAATCGGAAAATCCATTTTGTTAATTGGAATATGATCCTTGCTTCTAAAGAAAAGGGTGGCCATGACATTGGGAGCTTGAAGGATTTTAACCAAGCGCTTATTAAGAAACGAAGATGACGTTATTTGACTAAAGAAAAAGTTATGTTGGTGAACTTTATCAAGGCTATTTGTACCACTTGAATTTGATAAGTTTCATATTTAACCTCTTTATCTAAAAAGTTGCAAAGTTGGTCCTTAAGCTAGTACGTGGGGCGTACCAGGTGGTACGCTTAACGTACTAGCCTGATTTTGATCGCGCATTCAGTCCACGTATGTTGGGTGTACGTGGAGTACGCATGGTGTACGTGTGGATTAATGACACCCTAATTTCCAGGGTATTGCACCCTATTTAAGCCTCATGATAGCCTCATTTGGTCGTGTTTAAACAGCCTCCACCTCCCTTTGTCTAGAAATCGAAACCCTAGTGTGTTCTTGAGAGTTTTGAGCCATAAAGAGTGTTTGTTGGTGCTTTGTGAAGGAGAAGAAGAAGTGAACCACTTGGAGTTGTGCTTGGAGCTTGAGGATCCGGGATTAGCTCGTCATTTGCTAGCCTTTTGAGGGAAAAAGCTCACATCTTGCTAATCTTTGATGCTAGATCTAGTTATGTTGCTATTTTATGCTTTTTGAGTACTTTGAGTGATTGATGAGCTTCTTGATTCACTCTAGAAGTGATTCTTGGTAGATCTAGGGTTCTTTTGGTCCATTTGTCCATAAAAATGCAATCTTTGAGGTGCTTATGGAGTCTTACATGTGTTAAGACCCTTTGTTAAGCTCTTTTGAGCTCTAGATCCCCATTAACAATATGTCAAATGATTAAAAGTCACAGCCTCAGAAGAGCTTGATGAAGAACTGCTACTGTAGAGGCTGTCTAGGGTTTACAATGACACGATTAGTAAAGGCCCAAAAGACGCAACACTAAAATACTCAACAATCTCCCCCTTTGCGTCGATTGAGGCAAGAGTTCTTCAATGCTGAGTTCGCTTCTGCACTCCAAAAACTTTTGGAATTATGCCCAGCAGAACCTTGCGAACTTGGATATACCACAAAATCATATCCGAGAAGAACTTCATGTCCCCTTTGATGTTACCCTTGTGCTTGTTTACAAAGTGTTGGATTAGGTGTCTAAGCCCATAACTATAATTGGAATGTACTTGAATTGATAGCAGCACAGTCCTTTTGGGTTGCCCTCAAACCTAGCAACTGGACAAGGAAATTATGAAAGGAGAGATATTAATTTATTATAAGATTAATAATTAATATAAATGATTTATTAATATGTTAAAAGATTAATATATTAATTAGAAATCATTATGTTTAATTAATAGTTAGCAAGAAATTAATCAGAATTAATTTTGGGGTTAAAAGTATTAATTATAAAGTGCAGGGACTAGTTTGCAATTATCAAATAGTTGAGTGGAAGGCTCCAGAACCTCCTTGGAAGGAGGTGGACGAAATTCATAGGGGAAACCCTAATGATTTCGTCCAAGGGGCTTGGATAAGGCCCTTGGATAAGCTTAGGCCCCAAGCAAAGGAGTATTAGGGTTTTTCCCTAAACCCTAGATCCCTCAGCTATATAAGGAGCCTCCTGGCTCCCAAAATTGGCCACTCTTACTTTGGTGAAACCCTAGGGCCAAAATTGCATACCCTACTCTCTCTCTCTTTCTCTCTCTCTCTCTCTCTCTCTCTCTCTCTCTCTCTCTCTCCTTCTAGTTTCCTTCTTGCTAGTTCTTGGGTGTGATTCCATTAGAGGCATTACATTTGTGGTGCTAGGCTTCCAAGAAGATCAAGTTCAAGAGGATTATCAATTATTTACTATAACAATTGAAAGGTATGTAACTCTTAAACCCTAATTAGTTATTTTCGAAAATAGCCTCCTCCTCTAGGGTTCTTGTTTTGCAATTCAAAGTTATATGTTCAATAGTTAAAACATAGATCCAAAGTAGGTTGCATGTGAACTTAGGAATTGTTTTCTAGTTTATTTGTTTTACTTAAAACCCATCAGTGGTATCAGAGCCATTGTTTGTTTTAAATTGAATTGCTATAATGGTTGAATTGCAAATCAGGGTTTATAGCTATTAAACCCCAAAGGCCAAAATTTTCGATTTTTAGGGTTTTGGATCAAAGGGTTTTCGAAAAACCCTAGCCTCCATGAACCCTAATCGAAATTAGGGTTAGGGTTTTGAAAAACCCTAGCCTCCTCCCTTAATTTTCGAAATTTACATGGTAATTTAGGGTTTCTTGTTTTTGGATAATTGTTGCCTTATTGGATAATTGAGAAAAATAAGGAAATTATCCTATCCCCATATTTTCGAAATCTAGAAGGGATATGGATTAGGATTAAATTAATTGTTTAATTTAATTAGATAATCCTTACAAGATTTAATAAATTAATTAAAAGTTAATTAATAGATAAATATTAAATCTGGTTATTTGGTTTATTTCTAAATTTAAAATTAATGGCTTAATTTTCGAAATTTATATATAAACCTTAAAGTTTTAAAAAGTTTAAAACGCATCTTATATATGTATTATAATTAAAAGTTAAATATTATATATGTATAAGAATATGGTCAGTCAAATCGCTGGTATGCCTCATTCACGAAGCTAGTCTATAAAGGGGGTATAAGGAAATTGCCTATAAAATGGTAGTTGAATGGGTGTCCACTCTCACCCACCGCTTCCTTGATTAGTGGAGGGTCGTTAGCAGAACGGGTTTGATAGGACAACTACATCTCATTAAAAGTATAATGTTATTAAAGAAAGTACTAGAACATTATT